AGGAAGATCTTCCATCAGTGGACTCTAGTCACATGAGTGGTGCGTTTTTGTTTTTTTAATTATTATTATTATTGTTTTATCTAACTTTTATTCTATTGTATTTAGTTCCTGATTGTTCTGGATATCCTTCAGCTCCACTGGGACCTTATCTATTACCAACTATCACTATTGTGGGTGAACTGCACCTACAGTTCAGAGCCAACTTTTAAGGTCTCTGAAAATTGTGAGTGTTCCATTTTAACCTTACAATCTTACTATTGTGTGTTACATACTACACTATGCTATATAAGGTCTAACAATAAGTTGTAAAATGTTTGTCATATACTAAAGGTAAAATATAATCACTGGGTGCATTTTCACCTTTTTTACTTGGTCATAGAGCACATATTGGAATGTTATGTTTAAAACTCAAGGAATTTTAATATTTTTATGTATTTTTTGTATCATTTAAATTTAATATTAAAGAGACAATCTAAGCACCAAAACCACTACATCAGTGCAGTCTGTCAAATGCAAACATTGCCGTTTGAGAGAAACATTTGTTAGCCAGAATGCCTTTTGTGATTGCCAATCAGACAATGAATCAGTCAATCAGATAGCCACTAGAGGAAATTCCTAGTGAAGCCTTTCAATAGCTAGAAGCCACCAAATTAAAGTAGTTTGTTTAGTAAAGTATTGAATTTAATGAGAAGTATTACAATAGGAAGCTCAAGGAAGCAAGGTGAATGGTTAGAGTTAGGACCCACCTGGGGGGGTCTGCCTTGACGTTGGCAGGTGGGCTTATCCTCTCATGGCCATTGGAGGTAACTTAAAAAAAAACCTCCATTTGTTTAAAAATACATAGGGATTAAAGAGAGAGCGCAGGTAACTTGTTTTTCTTTGGTTTTTACTATATATTGGGGCTGATGTGTACTGTAGTCGTTGCTGCCGTCCCAGGAGTGATGGGAGTGAGCGCAGGACTTGTCTTTTTGTAATTACAATAGGTGGGCTTGGACAGAGATCATCAGTAATTCTGATCTCAGAACATATTTCAATGTCCTTTTTGAACTTTTTATAATTGTTTATTTTTTTAGGATCTACCAACAAGTGCGTCCTTCCAAACTTAGATCAAAATTAATCAAACTGCACTTATTACTTTAAGGTTGTTGGTTTGCTTTTTATAGGACTATTGGAAAATATAAAGAGCTATCTTTAGCTAGGCATAAAAGTACAATATATAACAACAAAATGTTAGGAGTTCTGTTTGGTTGTCTTGAATTTGTATCAATTCACTGGAGTCTTCAACCTTAGACCCGTAAAAGAGTAAAGATCACTATTGCAGTACCAATGAGAATCAGCTTTAGGGCAGGCACCTGCAAAACAAATAAAAAAGTTAACACTATGAAATAAAATGAGGGTGAATACATATGTAATAGAGGAGTTGTGTTTACTTAAAACTTTGGTGTCTGGCACCAGGACTCATTGCAGGACCAATGTTAAAGAGTTGAGACAAGCTCTTCTGAGAATAGACATAACTTATTACTCTTTCCAATGGGTTGGTTGATGTATCATGCTCACAGAAATGGATCAAAGTAAAGAAATGCCAAGCAACCTCACTCTGCATGAGAGGGTTAGCAATTCTGAAATTATGCCTGAGCCCATCATAGGTTTGTTATTGGGGGAGAGTGATATTCCTGTACGCACAGTAAACACTGTGTCTGGTGTGTCATTCATTCTATGCTCCCTGTGTGTCCTCAACACACTATTATCTTATATCTTATATTTATCCAGAAGATAATTAGCACAGAAAACTCAGGCAGGCAGTTATTCTCTAATATGTTGTCAGTCGAGCAAAAATCGTACTGGAAGCAGGCAGCTGGACAAGCCAAAGTCAGGGCAGGCAGCAATCTGGGATAGTCAGAAAAAAACTAGCTCATAAACAGTAAAATAGGAACACAGAAAACTCCAAAATCTGAGCCAAATGAACAGCACAGAAAGGGCCACAACCCAGCAAAGGGTCAGAGGATGTCCATAAAAGTGTATACTAAGGATACTATACAGTCCAAAATAAATATCTCCTTTAGGTCCATATTTTGCATTTTATATTTAAGAAAACATTCAATTCACAAAGGTTAACAAACTTAGAGCTTTATTAGAACAAACCATTCTGCTCTACAGTGACTGGGTTTATAATGATAAGCTATTATTTAATTAATTTTGTATATATTTTGTGGATGTTCATTAAACTAGATATTTATACATCCAATTAACTTACATCTCTTTGCTTTTGTTTTTAGTCACCATTTGGAGAGTATTTAATTTGGAAAGGGAATATTACTGACTTAAAATTATTTAATATTGTGACAAATATTTTTATTCTGTAATATATTGATGGTTTAATATATTTTTTATATGATATATTTTTAATACTTTAATATTTTGAAAATAAATATTTTAAAAGTTTATCCAAAAATATTAAATTGAGGCCAGAACAGATAAAACCCAGTACAAAACCTTTATCAGGATTTTATTTTAAACTGAAACTTTGACCATACATAAAAGTTAAGTTTATTTTAAAGAGACTGGAGAGTGCTATCCTATATTTTTTTTGCCTGTATTCTTCTGCCAGAAAAGTAACTAATAAGAGTGCAGTCTACTTTATATACAGTTGCAAGAAAAAGTATGTGAACCCTTTGGAATGATATAGATTTCTGCACAAATTGGTCATAAAATGTGATCTGATCGTCATCTAAGTCACAACAATAGACAATCACAGGCTGCTTAAACTAATAACACACAAAGAATGAAATGTTGCCATGTTTTTATTGAACACACCATGTAAACATTCACAGTGCAAGTGGAAAAAGTATGTGAACCCTTGGATTTAATAACTGGTTGAACCTCCTTTGGCAGCAATAACTTCAACCAAATGTTTCCTGTAGTTGCAGATCAGACGTGCACAACGGTCAGGAGTAATTCTTGACCGTTCCACTTTACAGAACTGTTTCAGTTCAGCAATATTCTTGGGATGTCTGGTGTGAATCACTTTCTTGAGGTCATGCCACAGCATCTCAATCGGGTTGAGGTCAGGACTCTGACTGGGCCACTTCAGAAGGCGTATTTTCTTCTGTTTAAGCCATTCTGTTGTTTATTTACTTCTATGATTTGGGTCATTGTCCTGTTGCAACACCCATCTTCTGTTGAGCTTCAGCTGGTAGACAGATGGCCTTAAGTTCTCCTGCAAATTGTCTTGATAAATTTGGGAATTCCTTTTCCATTTTCCTTCGATGATAGCAATCCGTTCAGGCCCTGGCGCAACAAAGCAGCCCCAAACCATGATGCCCCCACCACTATACTTCACAGCTGGGATGAGGTTTTGATGGTGTGCTGTGCCTTTTTTTTGCCACACATAGTGTTGTGTGTTTCTTCCAAACAACTCAACTTTGGTTTCATCTGTCCACAGAATATTTTTCCAATACTGCTGTGGAACATCCAGGTGCTCTTGTGCAAACTGTAAACGTGCAGCAATGTTTTGTTTGGACAGCAGTGGCTTCCTCTGTGGTATCCTCCAATGAAATCCATTCTTGTTTAGTGTTTGACGTATTGTAGATTTGCTAACAGGGATGTTAGCATTTGCCAGTGACTTTTGTAAGTCTTTAGTTGACACTCTAGGATTCTTCTTCACCTCATTGAGCAGTCTGCACTGTGCTCTTGCAGTCATCTTTACAGGACGGCCACACCTAGGGAGAGTAGCAGCAGTGCTGAACTTTCTCCATTTATTGACAATTTGTCTTACTGTGGACTGATGAACAGCAAGGCTTTTGGAGATACTTTTATAACCCTTTCCAGCTTTATGCAAGTCAACAATTCTTAATCGTAGGTCTTCTGAGAGCTCTTTTGTGCGAGGCATCATTCACATCAGGCAATGCTTCTTGTGAAAAGCAAACCCAGAACTGGTGTGTGTTTTTTATAGGGCAGGGCAGCTGTAACCAACACCTCCAATCTCATCTCATTGATTGGACTCCAGTTGGCTGACATCTCACTCCAATTAGCTCTTGGAGATGTCATTAGTCTAGGGGTTCACATACTTTTTCCACCTGCACTGTGAATGTTTACATGGTGTGTTCAATAAAAACATGGCAACATTTCATTCTTTGTGTGTTATTAGTTTAAGCAGACTGTGATTGTCTATTGTTGTGACTTAGATGATGATCAGATCACATTTTATGACCAATTTGTGCAGAAATCCATATCATTCCAAAGGGTTCACATACTTTTTCTTGCAACTGTATACCATTACTACCTTTATGGATCTTTTGCTGCTCTGTTATACAAAGATAATGTAATGATATTAAAATAATGATTTATGACATAAAATAAAGCGTGATGAGTTTAATGCTTTAGAGACACTACTAGGGGCAGTGTGTAAGCCATTACATGGTTTTCTAAAGCCATGTGCTTCTGGCAGTGACATCACAGACCAGCCTACTTTAGGAATACACTGAATAAAAACCAGATGTAGGACGGATTCAGTCTCTTTACCCTTTCTAGAATGTAGACTACCATGAGCTGACTGTTTAGCCCCAGCCCCACAGGCTGGGGCCTGTGTGAGTTTGTTTATGTTTTGTATTGCCCCATTTGAATCCATTGTAACATTTGGCAACTGATAACCTTTTGTAAGTAATATGCTGAAGTTTTGTATTGTATAATTATTGTAGTAAATTGACATTCTGCTAGCATCAGTTATATGCAATAATTATTATATTATTAGTGTATTATCTATCCACATAATACCAAGAACTATAAAAATATTAATGTTGGTACCCATTGCTTAATTATTATATATTAGTTAAGAGATTAGTATTCATCTTTAAGCCACGGTCACAACAGATACACTTTGCATGTATGAGTTACTTAGTAT